CCCTCCCTCCCTTCCTTTCTTCCTTCCTTCCTTCCTTCCCTCCATTTTGGTTTTTCGGGCAGGGTTTCTCTATGTAACAACCCTGGCTGTCCTGGAACTTGCTTTGTAGACCAAGGCGGTCTCGAACTCACAAAGGTTTGTCTGCCTCTGCCTCCCAAGTACCAGAATTAAAGGTGTGAGCCACCACCGCCAAGCTCAAGATGTCTTTTGTTTGTTTGTTTTTTTCAAGACAGGGTCTCTCTGTGTAACATCCCTGGCTGTCCTGGAACTCATTTTGTACAACCAGGCTGATCTCAAACTCACAGAGATCCGCCTGCCTCTACCTCCTGAGTGCTGGAATTAAAGGCATATGCCACCACTGGCAGGCTTCAAGATGTCTTTTTTTTAATATCTGCATTTGTAAGAAACAAAATTTCTCAAGATTTCTTGGAGCCGCTATCTATAAAATGCACTCTGTATAGTGATTGAGCCTGCCAAACGTCTTAAGAGCCAGATGTGGTAGGCACACCGCTGCCATCCCAGAGCTTAGAAGGCAGAATTGGGAGCATCATATATGCCAGACCAGCCGGGTGGCATAGCTAGTTCCAGGTTAGCTTGAACTAGAGGGTTGAGATCTGACACCCTAGCCCTAAAAAAGACTTGGATGGTCTGCCAAGGTTGTGGTTTGAATAAGAAGGCTCCCATAGGCTCATATATATTTGAACGCTTGGTCACCAGGGCACGGAATCCTTTGAAAGGGTCAAAAAGATTACTAAGTGTGCCTTGCTGGAGGAAGGGTGTTACTAGGTGGGCTTTGAGGTTTTAAAAAGCCCGTTCTCTCTGCCCATGGATGAGGATGTAGCTCTCAGCTACTGTGTCCAGCACCGTGTGTGCTGCCAAGCTCCCTGCCATGATGATAACGGACTAACTCTCTGAAACTGTAAGCAAGCCCCCAATTAAATGCTTTCTTTCATAAGAATTGCCCTGGTCACAGTGCCTCTTCACAGCGAGAACAGTGACTAAGATAGCCACGGTATTCCAGAAGCCCACAGTTATACAGTGGATGCATACAATTACCAGCCACCACTCTGGGCCCATTATGAACAGAACCTACTCGCTCAGAGCTGTTAGAGCCTCACAAATGCCATTTGGGCATTGGTACACCTAAGTGTTTATGCTTGGAAAAGTATGCGCTATTATTCCCTATTTTATTGCTAAAGTGGCCTTTGGAGTGCTCTGTTTTGTGGCTGTTACAGCGATACCTTGTGGCTGATGTTTGTTTTCGGTTTGAGGTGTGGTTTCACCGTGTAGCCCAGGCTGGCCTTAAACAGGTGACCCTCTTGTTTCAACCTCTTGAGTTCTAGGATTATAGGTTGTTTTAATTAGGCTTTCTATTGCTGTGAAGAGACACCATGATCTTGACAACTTTTGCTTTTGTTTGGTTGGTTTTCTTGTCGTTGTTTGTTTTATTGAGACCGAGTTTCTTAATGTAGCCTTTTTTGGAGCCTGTCCTGGAACTCGTTCTGTAGACCAGGCAGGCCTTGAATTCACAGAGATTCACCAGCCTTGGCCTCAGAGTGCTGGGATTAAAGGTGTGCGCCACCACTGCCTGGTGACCATGGCAACTTTTTTTTTTTTTGCATGGCAACTTTTATAAAGGAAAACATTTAATTGGGTTCCTCTCTTACAGTTCAGAGGTTCAGTCCATTATTGTCATGGTGGGATACGGTAGTGTGCAGGCAGACATGGTGCTGGGGAAGTACCTGAGAGGCCTTCATTTTGCGGGCAACAGAAAGTGGTCTGAGAATAAACCTGGGAGTAATTTGAGCACAAGAGACCTCAAAGCCCGCCCCCACAGTGACACTCTTCCTCCAACAAGGCCACACCTTCCTATAGTGCCACTCCCTTTGGGGACTATTTTCTTTCAAACCACCACACAGATCATCACACCTGGCCCCACCACTCAACATTTGAGCATTCAGGTTGTGTTTCTCAGAATTATGGCTCAAACTCCTAGAAAAGGACATGTCTAGGAAGCTAGTCAAAGTCAAGAAAACTCCACAGAGGCATTGACAACATTTGGGTGCTTTCCCCTGGTCTTGGTTTTCTATTGTGGGAGTCGGGGAATGTGAGTGAAGCACAGGCAAGGATCTATGCTAGCTTTGATAGTTGTCTTTACATCTCAAATTGTTTCAAGGGGCCACAGAGATGGCTCTGTGGCTAAGAGCATTTGCTGATCTCGCGGAGGACCTGTGTTTGGCTCCCAGTACCCATATGGTGGCTCAGAATCCTCTGTAAGTCCAGTTCAAGGGGATGTTATACCTTCCTCTAGCCTCTGCAGGCACCAGGGACACATGTGGTTCACATACATACATGCAAGCAAAACACCATACGCATAAAATAATACAAAAAGTTTTTTAAAATAATAAAATAAAAATTACTAGGCTAGGCAAAACATTCACATTTAAAGGTACCTAGCAACAAAGACTCTTCTGAACTCAGAGTTCTTCTGGGAGGCCACCAACGTTCTCAAGTCATCATGACTTTTTTTTTAAGATTTACCTTATTTTTATTAATTTGCATATGTGTGTATCTATGTTTAGTTACATGCGTGCGAGTGTAGGTTCCCGTGGAGGCCAGAAGTGTTAGATCTTCTGCAGCTCAGCTACTGTCAGCTGTAAGCTAACCAACATGGGTACTAAGAACTGAACTCAGGTCCTCTGGAGAGCTGTGCATACTCTTCACCACTGAGCCATCTCTCTTTACCTGTCTTTTTTTTTTTTTTTTTAAAAATCATCGTGTGTGCAGGCATGTATGCATCTTTATGTGTGTCTGTGCGTGCCACAGTTCAATAAGTATGGAAGTCAGAGGACAACTTGCACCGTGCGGGTCTCAGGGATGACACTGGGGTGACCGGCGTGACAACCAGCACCCTCACCTGCTCAGCCATCTTGCTGGCCCATTGTGTTCATCCGGCTTGTGGACCCGTATGCTAAAAACAGTGGGTGTTACTGTTGGTTGAAAATTATTGCAATGTAAGACACGCTCATATTTATAGTCCATTTCCAAGTGTGGAAAAACAGGATGGGCAGAAGAAAGTCACCCACCTCCTGCTTCTCCTGCCTTTAGTTCTGCCCGCGGGAGCGCTTTCCAAGAGCGCAGCCCAGGGGTGTGAGAACATTGGCCTTGACACTGAAAAAGCTGTGTGTAATTACAGACCAGACTCTTAACTACGCTGAGCACGCTTCTTCATCCGTAAAATGAGGATGATAACAAAGCACGCTTGGCTGGATTATTATGGGGATTAATTAAGATAACGTACAAATCACGTGTAACATCACGGTGAGCACAAAGAAGATGGTTAACCCATTAGACTTGTTATTCCTAGGCCAGTCCCTCGCCCACAACTCAGAGCTTGAGACAACATCCCTTTGGCTGAGCGGCCAGCTCAGTCACCTCCGTCTCCCCAGCGTCTGCTCCGGTCTTCAGCTGGAAGGCGGAAGTGAAGGGCGAGGGCCTTCCGGCGTACTTACCTGTGATGAGGTTGTCCACAAGGGTGGTGGGCATGCAGAAAATGCCCACCAGCAGATCGCTGACGGCCAGGTTGAGGATGAACATGTTGGTGACGGTGCGCATGTGCCGGTTCCTGAGAACAGTGAAGCAGACCAGGGTGTTGCCCACCATGCAGAGGAGGAAAATGAGGGTGTAGGCCACGATGAACATGGCGGCCACTGGCGAGGAGTGCTGGTAGTAAGAGGAGAAAATGGGGCTGGCGGCCAGGGCAGCCTCAGCCTCGCTTCCATTCTGATTCAAGGGCCAGCTGCCATTGGGAGGCTGGGCGGGCTCGTCTAGGACCAAAGGAACACAAGAGTCAGGACCTAAGCAAAGACGGGATGGCTGATTGTACCACCCAAAGCCGACCCTTGGCTGGGGCTGTAACTCTGAGTGCTTGCCTAGCATGCATGAAGCTATGGGCAATACCCAGTGCCGCATAAAGTGGTGTACGTGCCTTTAATCCAAGCACGGGGGGGTGGAGGCCAGAGGATCAGAAGTTGAGTTTGAGACCGACCTCAGCCAAATAAGCTTTCAAAGGAAAGAAAGGAAAAGCTGGTGTTTCTTTGTGTCCCATGCCATACCCTAAGCCTACTCATTACTGTCCTCACTGTCCCAAGGACAACTGGACACACATAGAAAGGATTTTATTATCTTTTAATTTTTTAGTTTATTTTATGAGTGTTTTGTCTGCACACATGTACGTGCACAATGTGTGTGCCTGGAGCCCATGAAAGTCAGAAGGCATCGGATACCCTAAGGATGGTTGTAAGTCACAGTGTGGCTTTCTGCAGGAGCAACAAGTGCTCTTAATCACCGAGCCGTCCTCCAACCTCTGATGAAGGACTTTCAATTTATCCCCTCCTCAGACTGCCGAGACTCACTCTTCGCCCCTGTTAGTTATTCTCCACCCACCCCTCCACCCGCCTTCATTTCATCTCTTGAGCCTCAGAAGACCTCTGAGTGTGGGGTGACAAGGTCTCATGTATCAGGCTAGCCTTGAACTCACCACATAGCCAAGGATGACCCTGAACTTCTCATGTTCCTGTCTCCACCTCCTGAGTGCTGAGACTGTGTGTGTCACCATGCCCAGTTTACATGACAGAACCAAGGGTTTAGCGTATGTTAGGCAAGTACACTACCAAGGGGACAAGTATCTAACTTTTTTTTTTTTTTTTTTTTTGAGGCAGAGTTTCTCTGTGTAGCTTTTTGGAGCCTGTCCTAGAACTCACTCTGTAGACCAGGCTGGCCTCATATTCACAGAAATCTGCCTGCCTCCACCTCCTGAGTGCTGAGATTAAAGGCATGTGCCACCAGCGCCCGGCTAGCCTTCTGGTTTCGCCATCCTCGCAGTAAGCAAGCATGGAGGTGCCCTGCTCCACACACTTCTCATCAGGAGCAGGCTGAGTATGTTTCTCTAGTCCTGCTTCAGAGAGAGCAGCCCAGTGTCCAACCATAGCTCTTCTGGGAAGTCATTAGCTGTGGTGAGTCATGGTGTTGTCTCAAAAATTCTCCCTGTGTCTTCCTCTGAGACCGAATGGGGCCCCTTCTGGAGGATGAAGTGTCCTCAAGGAATCTTTCCATGGAGCCCAGAGCTCAGCCACCGACTTGGAGGTACACTAGAGGGTGGGGGCACCTGGGGGCTGGAGACACCTGGGAGCAGCAGGCTACTGAGCTGGCACCATCTGGGCAGCAGGGACCAGTGGGCACCATAGGAGGGAATGGAGGGGTGATGGTCTGCTGACAGAGAAAGAACTGAGAGGGGGTGACACTCTCCCCCACTTAGGCCTTTCAAGGGCTCTAACTGCATGCAGACACCTTTACCATAATATAAAATCAAGCATATACATAAGAGACTATTACAGCGAGCATACACAAGCGTATGAAGTTTAATGAAACCATTAGGGATGGGATGGTGTAAAGGACTCCCAGGTGAATACTGCTCACTACCACCAACCACTGGCTCTCTGCTTCAGTTATCCTGAAGCATTGGCCAGTATTTCTTTCCACTGAAAATTATATATAATATTTTTTTAAACTGGAGATCCAGGAGCTGGACAGGTAGCTCAGTTGGTAGGGTGCCTGATGGACATCCACAAAGTCTTCAGTCCCATCCTCAGCACCACACAAGCCAGGTGTGGTACACCCATAAACCTAGAACCCCAGAGGCAGGATGAGAGGTTCAAGGTCATCTTTGGCTGCGTGCTGAGTTTGAGCCAGCCTGGATTACGTGAAACCTTTTCACAAAACCAAACCAAACCAAACCAAACCAGACCATCAAGATAGCGCAGCAGGTAAGGTGCCTGCTGTCAAGCCTGCTGGCCTGAGTTCCATCCCTGGAACCTACAATGGCGGAAAGGAACTAACCCTCTCAAGCTGTCCTCTCGCCTCCAATCACATGCTGTAGTATGTAAGTCTCCCCCCAATACACATAATAGAGTAAAAGTTTAAATTAAAAAGAAAATCAACCTACCCCGCCCCCTTCTACCACACTTGGTTGATGTCATTCCTCAGTCTCTCAGGACACAGGTTTCACTATTGTCTCCTCACCACCCACAAGCCCCTGCAATCATTTATCCAGAAGGTTATGTGGCTTGTCTGTGGGTTCTCCTGCAGGTTGGATGATGCAGACAGCTCTCCCACGGTATCATTTCCTAAGCTGCACTCTCTGGGCTCTGGGGCCCTTGTTAAAGGCAGTTAAAGCTAACGGTGTGATCCCCTTGGATGTGTCTGGGTAGCCTGATGGCCTCACTTGATTCCTTTTTTAACAGGGTCTCCTATCACCCATGATGACCATGAACTTACCATGTAGCTGAGACTGGTCTTAAACTTTAAAAAAAAAAGATTTATTTGTTATTTTTATTTTATTTATATGAGTGTTTTTACTACAATTATATCTGTATGCATACAGTTCCTCTGATGTCAGAAGAGGGTGTCAAATCACCTGGAACTGGAGTTACAGATGGCTATGAGCTGCCATGTGAGTGCTGGGAATCTAACACAAGTCCTTTGCAAGAACAGGAAGTACGTGCCCTCTCTCTCTCTCTCTCTCTCTCTCTCTCTCTCTCTCTCTCTCTCTCTCTCTCTCTCTCTCTCTCTCTCTCTCTCTCTCTCTC